CTCCCTCCCTGGTACACAATCACCCCATACCCCTCCCACCGCCCCAAGTACATTCCACTATGCAACCTTAATTGTGGACTCTTGTGAGTCGTCAGTTTTAAAAGTGTGCGGCAATGTGTTAATTCTCTCCCAACTTGATGGTTTCCTTATATGATTCAATGGCATGGTGTGCCTGTTGTACTCCTAATGTGGTGGTATTAAGAGGACTCTAATGAAAGACACTGGTCTCAGAGTGAATAATCACTCGAGCATCCATCCTGTGTACTTCATTCACAGCCCTGTCTGCCCCGTAAGGATCCCAGCCTCCCTCAGAAGCCTGTTGACAGTAGTACGCCTCATGCTGTGGTTCTTCATGATTTCCCAGCAGGTAAGGACATGTGTTACCAAAGTGGCCGGACCTTAGGACCCAGGAGCAGGCTTCCTCGCTGGGTCAGCCTCTCAAGCCCATCTCTCTTCACTTCTGTATCCAAGACGTTCTAGACCAGAAAGGTCATATTGCTGTCACTCAGACTCCTCGAAGGGTCATTGTATCCAGCATTCCAGAAAGCTCGCACCCTTGCCTTTGACATTCTTACACAGAGAGATGGTTTCCTTTACCAAACACATAAATTGCCTACCTGTTACAGACAGTTCAATACTTTTAAAACAGTGGGCACCAATTTACAACTGCATTGAAATGAATTCTGATTTAAAAAATAAAGTTCTTGTATCCTAAAAATTATTAAAAAACTATATACATAGCTCAGCAACTCCCTGTGAGATCAATATGTAAATTTATTTGGTAATCATTGGCCTTAATAAGTTCTTGAGTTATTTACAACTGTTTTCCATCTCTAAGTCTACTTGGTAGACTGATTTTTACTTTAGTGTGGGTCAATTTACTTGTTAAGAGCAGCAGTACCTACTCCCTTAGTTAATACTTTTCAGCTGAAATTTCAAGCATGATTATGAAGAATGATGTAACATGTTTATAAGAGGCCTTTCAATTGTCCAGTGTGTATCCAGTAAAACTGGCAGCAGGGGGTTTATATTGGCCAACACAATGCTTTTAGTTTTACTATGTCTCATACATCAGTGCACAATAAACATACCTAAGTTGATCCTTAAAAAGAAATCTCAGAATGATAGGGTGGTGTGTGTGTGTGTTTTTTTTTAATTGGTTGATTGGTATAATCTGTTCTCTGAACCATTTGTGCACAAGGTACCTCAGTGGACAGAACTAAATGCTATTATATGCTCTAACCAAATCGGCAGCCAGCATAATTCATTGTCACGTGTAATTATAACTTTGCATTACAGAACAAGTTGATGATTTGAACCTTACTTCTGGAGAAATAGTTTATCTTCTGGAAAAAATGGATGCAGATTGGTACAGAGGGAAATGTGGAAGCCAGACTGGTTTATTTCCTGCCAATTACGTCAAAGTAATTGTGAGTCGTGTTTGTTTTAATTGTTCATACAATCAGCGAAGCTGAAGAGTGGGTTCTATGTGGCTTGGAATTTAGAAAAATATAATCAAGACTGAGTTCCTGGATTCTAGTTCTCTCTTTCATTCTTCCATTTGGTGGTTAGAAAATTTTAAAATAAAGGTTTGTTCAAATAAATAATGGCTAATATTATGTAGCGTGAAAGAATATAGAGATACAATGCATAGCATGCAGGACTGCTAATCAAAAGGTGGGCAGTTTGAACCGATCAGTTGCTCCATAGGAAAACGATGGGCAGTTTCCTCCCGTAAAGACTTACGGCCTTAGCAACCAGATGGAGGGGCACCACGAGTCAGAATCACCTCTATGGGGTTTTTTTTGGTGGGGTATGAGAACTTACTTAAAACTGTCTGAAAAATCTAATGAAATAACTACCACAGGGTCTGCTGGTGAAGCAACTATTCTTGGAGAACTTTCAAGCACTGAAGGATATATGCTAATTCTTTGAGACATTTAATGAAAATCCATTCCATGATCTTGAATAGTTCTTAACACAATGGGTAGAGTGGCCCAATTCCTGACTGATTATGGGATGGCAAGGACCAGGCAGTGCTTCCCATTGTACGTGGGGTCATCATGAGTGTGGGATGATTTGGCAGCAGCTGACAACATTTTCCTTTGAAGATATTTTCTTCTGAGGTGATGGTATCACTTTTCGTTTGCCTTCTAGCCCCCATCTCCATCTGCAAATACATGTGAGTTTAGAAACACTCAAATATTTTTATTAGAGCTAGTGGTACATTTATTTCATTGATATTCACAAAATAATTTCAACTCAGAGTGAGAAAGATTACCTTAAAGCTTCAGCATTTAATTCATCATCTAACTTGTGAAAGCAGAGCCGTCTGATAGATCCCCAAGTATTAAGCCCAGCTGGCCATGAAAGATGGAGCTAAAATCAGACTGCCACCTGAACATTTCTATCAGTGGGAAAAGGATAACTCAGTCCCTGATAAAACCTACTGATACTAGAAAATATTAATAAAGCCAAGATAAGTGATTGATCATTAACAGCTTTCTTGGGAGAAAATAATACAAATCATTTTTCCATTATGGAAAGCTAAGAAAACAAGCCTAACAGTGGAATCTCTCCTTCTAAAATATAAATGCATTTGCGTCTCTTAGATTATAAAAAATGTGGATCTTGAAAATTGTCCAATAAATACATGCCTTGACTCTTTTGGGGAATCTGACCATGCTCCTTAAATTAACATTAAGAGTAACCTTATGGGGGTGGGGGGCGGGGAGAGGGGTGCGACAATGAATGAATGGAATTCCAAAATCTCTGTAGATGTTCACTGAAATGAAAAATAAAGAAATTAAATAAAAAAAAGAGTAACCTTATTTTTTTTTTTGCACACTTCCTCATTTTTCTTCTGCCCAGTGAAGCAGCACTTTTAAAAGCACCGTTACCACACTGATATCCACCATGCTGAATTTGCCACATTATTGGCGCAAGTGTTATTTCTAAGCCTACAAGTTAAAAAATGTTTTAAAACATTGAACTTAAACAAAAGTTCAGAGGTTTTAAGAATAGACCAGCATCTTGCAGGAGAAAAGACCTGGTAGTCTGTTCCCACAGAGATACAACCTCGGAACCCTATAAGGCAGTTCTGTCATATTGTTGTGTGTTGGGATTTATTTGATGGTGCACAGCTATAAGGGGTGAGGGGATGAACGAGCCAGGGAAACAGAAGCATGGGGCACAGGAGGTCCAATTATGTAGGCAGTATGTGCGAGAAAGCTTATAAAGTGTGGCACTGTGACAAATTGATAGTCATTCAATATTTATTCAATACATATTTATTTAGTGCCTCCCACAAACCAGAAGACTAACATTGAACTTTTAAAATTCGCTAAGAAGGCACTGGTTTATTTAATATAAACTTCAAAACCTTAAGTAGTTTTCAGGCTGCATGCATCATGGCCAAATGTGAGACACAGCCCAGCTGGGCAGAACCTTGTAAATGAGATATGACCTAAAGTCTTGCCGCTTAGAAGGTGCTCACCAAGGATTCGTTCTCCGTTCACACTGTGGGATGCCTGGTGGCTTGGTGGTAAGAGGTTGTGCTACAAAACCAAAGGCAAACACTTTGAATCCATCAGCTGCTGTGCAGGAGAAAGATGGGTAGTCTCTTCCAGTGCTGTCCACCTGCAACCTCTGAAAACCCACTGGAGGGTCAGCTATGAGTTGGTTCTGACTCAACGGTATACAACAAAAACAGTCACATTGAAGGAAAAGAAACAAAAAGTGTTTCCGAGTTGCTAATACATAAAGCATCATCCACAGCAGTTTAAAATTGTTAAAAGCCAAACCCATTGTTGTTGGGTTGATTGTGACTTCTGTTGAACCTATAGGGCAGAGAACTGCCTCAGTGGATTTTGGTAAATTTCCAAGGCTGTAAATGTAAATGGGAGCAGATTACCTCCTCTTCCACTCCTAGAGAGCCAACTAGGTTCGAACCACCAACTTCTCTGCTGCCCAACACTGACCCACTCTGCTACTGTGGAGCGGGGAGTTATCATGGAATTCTACAAACACTTGTGTGATGCTTCTGATATGAGACAGCACAAATGCTCAAGCTTAAATCCTCATTTTAGAAGACATGGGATAATGAAAACAATTAAAAGTAGGATGTTAATATGCTTATTTCAACAAATGAAAGAAAGACCAGTTACACACAAAAGACAGCATTACAAGTTGTCAATTATTTTCTAAACTAAAATTCAAAGTGAATTAGCACACATGATAACATTTAATCAGGTTAGCACTTACCTAAACTGGTTAATTTCAGTGATACATTTTCTGTTAAGAACAGGAGTCAACTTTTTTTT